TGTTCTTCTTCTTCAAATGTATTTAATCTATTTTAAGTATTTTTGTATATTGTATATTTTAAATACATTATTTTATGTATTTTATTACATCTCCAAAAACTCGAAAATATAGTTTTTCAAATACAAAATTTATTAAACATACATACTTCAAATACAAGTATTTAAATACTACCCAGCCCTGATGATAGCTAAAGATTGCATAAATGCCAATAAGATACAACATAAAAATTATAGCAAGTCTAGAACGATACTCACAAACAATAGTTTTTTTTTAATCTCAAATAATGGATAAATACATACCTTGACAGAGGAAGCCCTGGTGCAGAAGCCCTCTCAGGTACTTATTGCACTTATCACAACGTTCCAAGTTACTAAAGCTGTGTTCCAACAATCTATGGGGGGACTTTTCACCAACATCCTCTTCTACACAAGAGTTATCAGGTTCTGGAGAAGGGCGGCACAATTCATCAATACACACAAGAATTGCTTTTTGGTGAAACTCATCTTTGATGCCCATGTTCTGAAAAGAAAACAATATGTCTAACATTCTATTCCAACAGAAGCATTATTGGTTATTAACAAATAAATTGTAAGTTAGAAATATAATTTTTCCTGCCAATAACCCAAAAATAAATAACATAACACAGGAATAAAAATCATTGTCTTTCAACACAAATCTTATATTATTTCATTGATGTCAAAGCACTGTGTCAAATTTTCAAGTTGATTGCTCTAGTGCATTAAAGATGATTTAATATGAAAGTATACGTTCATACTATTACGTATCTGTGGGATTGGATTAAAATAAATATAAGAACTTTTTGAACTAATAATGATTTAATGACAAGAAAATGTGTGTGCGAGATACACAAGAAAGTGATGATCCATTGACAGGACAGCTGAGCATGAGTGAATATCTTCCTTTAGAGAGAACTCAAATTAGTTTCATTTGAGAAATTATTGGCTTCATTAATAAAACTGATAATTGTCTAACTAAAGTGATATCAAATTTTCTCCATAAACTACACACAACTACCACATACAATTACAGCACAAAACATAAAATAATTCCCCCCCCCCTTGACATCATTTGCAAAATATATTATATAAACCTAATTTCACAAATGTAAGTAGTAAGAATTAATAATAGTAGTAATAGTAATAGTAATAATAATAATAATAATAATAATAATAATAATAACAATAATAATAATAAATATTAGTGCTAAAAATAGTACAGCATATTTTGTTTGAATTGTTGGTTTTAGTAACATAATATTAGGATAGAAGTCTCAATATTTTAATAACACGTTAGACATCACCCCAAAAAACTCAAACAATAAAACTTTAAACAACAAAAAAGTGACTAATATTTTACAATAAATGTATATAGAATGATATAAAAATTGATTATTGAGGGATAAATTGCATTAAGAAACAAATCTCTAGCTTTAATGTTGAGAGTATATGATAGGGTTAGATAAAAATTGTAAAATAAATAAATAAAAACTAACTTTTGAAATTCTAAAGGTTTTAATGAAAATCAGACCAATACCATATTCTTGTAACTTCATTCCATTACGGAGGGGTAAAAAAAAAAGCGTTTGGGAAAAGCTTATTTTCATTTCTTTTTAAATCATTAGGATGTCACTAAAAATATGCAAAAACAACTAAAACTTACAAAATTTTGTTAACTTTATTGTAGGTTCTAATTTTGAAGATCAGATTTGACATGAAAATGTATTTTGTTCAATTATGTCGTAGAGGAAAGGGTTCAAACAATATTTTTAAGTATTGTCGAAATTTCATAGGTTTTACTAAAAACACGTTTGTTACATTTTCCAGACAACCATCCTTTACAGTACCATGACATAGTAAACAATTAGATAAGTTAAATATCATGATGGACAAAAAACAAAGTACCAAATATTTTACCATAAATAAAATTAAACGACAGTCTAAAACACCAGAGTGAATACTAGTGAATTAATGGGAGATACATTCATCATCATCATCATCATCATCATCATCTGGGTCAAGAGAATTTCAGGAGCAACATCGATACTCTACATTAAAAATAAGGTATGCCAAGTGGACTGTTTGAAAGGCGCATAAAGGGCAGAAATAGTAGTATCGTAGCAGCGTCGCGTCCAAGACGTAACAACACGAGAAACAATTTGCTCTAAGAAATGGAAATGGCGGTGCACCCTATCTCGTTTCTCTTTCACGTCGCCGGTTCGCGTGTAAGCACCACCTGCGACACGGGCCATGGGAATGCGCAGCAGCAGTATGCATCGACAGAGCTACAGCTCGCGGAGCCGAACACGCACGGCAAGCAGCGTCCCGCCGCGGAGCGGCGCCACGCTCCGTGAGCGCTCTATGGGGGTCACTACATAGCTCCACGCGCCCACGCGTGGTGTGGTGGTGGGGGGGAGGGGCGGGTAGCGAGAACACGACCGTTTATACTGTTCAACTCGGTGGCTCGGAGAGCCGCCCCGAGCAGTCCGGGCGCGCGAGCCCTGAAATCCGCTCACGAGCTACGCTGTGTCGAGGAGGGGATGGATGTCACTTAGAGGCACGAGAAATTACTTCGGGGAGGGAGAGCGCCCAATAGCCACGATGTTCCGAAGCGCCATGGTATAGGAGCATCGCGAATTATCTTTCGCTTTCCGGTCTTCGTATGGAGAGGTGTACGCGAAGACGCAAGACGACGGGAATAGAATTCGAAAGTAATAAAACGGCTTTGGTGATTTTAATAACATGAATAGCGATATTGAACTTCTTGCAAATCATTTTGCTGAGGACATCGTTGAAGTCAGACCACAAAGCAGTGTGAAGTTGCATGTTTGCAGACTATCGCGTACCTAAAACGTTTTAAATAAAATCTATATGCAAACCTGATTGATACATCCAAAATATTTTTAAATATTTGTTGCAGGAAAATATAATTTTATTTTAATTAGTAATATTATTCGTTAAAATATATTTCGAAAGGTTTTGATTTAAAAAAGAACGAAGTAAAGATATGTTAAAATTATTGTAAAAAGCAGTTTTACATAGATAAGTGGGATAAGAATTGAAAATTTATTTTGGATAGAAATAATTCTACAAATGTAATTTATTTGGCATTTTTACCGCCAAATCCACTAGAACATTTATTTAAGAAGAACAATTCTTAAAGAAGCAATGAAATTTGTGTTTGGTCACACTAAATTAATAGTGAACACTTTATGTAGTGTACTATATCAGTATGTGATCCTGTGAAATACCAACGCGTTTGTTGCTCCAAATTCGCAGCTTCTCCTCACTGGGAACTTATGAGGTCCGCGAAACACGATGCATTCTTCAAATTGTTTTCGTCCCTCGTTTGCCCTGTCGTCGGAAGGCATGGCCAACCCCGAACACATTACACCTACCATCCCCAGCAGAAGCGACCCTCGCCCGCGGTAACTCCCGGCTCAGCTCGGAGCCAGCACGAGTAATCGCACTCGTTTTAAGCGAGTTACGGAGGCCTGATTTAGAGTGTTTGACAGCAGATTGTGATAGAAATAGTAAAATGTTTTCCAAGGTTTATGTCATGGTACGCCGTGTTTCGGTTCACTTGTTTTGGGAGAAGAGATACATTTTTTTGAAAATATTCCTTTTGTGTCATTTAGCCAATTAGTCTTCATAAATAAGATATCTTTTGAAAAGTAATTTTTCGAGGTATTGGGTTTTGACGAATGTGTGTGTGTGTGTATGTATATGATGTACATATACATACACACACCACACACACACACTTATCCCGCCCTTTCTTTCGTGCACAATAACGAAACAATGCGCCCTGGGCCCTCAAAACCTGATTTTCAGAACTCCTAGAGAAGACATGAGACAACTTGCAGTAACACCATTGGCATGGTTGAAGGAAGTTTGGTTAGACATGGTTACTGTTGAAATGAGCAACTGAAAGATGTCATCGTTGACAAGCATCGGGTGCAAATAATACCTATGTAATAAATGTGTCTGCGACGATATAGAGCAGTCGTTATTCGCAGTTTGTGATTCAAAAAGTTCGCATAACTCTTGCATCAAATACCTAAAACAGAAACTATGACACACATGACAAATATATGTGGCAAAAAGTATAGGGTTAAGTTTGACAAGACGCCGTATTTCAAAAGGTAATACTGACATTACATTTAAACTTGAAGAATAAGTAATAACAGAAAATAATTACTTTTCCTTCTTCATAAATTCTATTTGCAGTGTCGCGCGATATTTGTTTTGAACATTTTGTGTTGTACATTTATTTCAAATAATTTTCAACAAAAGTTTAAAAAACTGCATTTTCATGCAGGCTATATTTCAGTCTTTTTAATTTTATTTTCTGAATACCTACATTGATGGATTTCTGATCATTTTGTGTCATCTTAATTAGGGATAAGTACAAGTGATTGGATTATTTCACTTCAAACTATTCCTCCTAAGCTACAACCAAACGTGTTATTACTTCATTACCTCACAAGTTATTTTCTGCCAATACGTAACTGAAGATTGAAAAAAATCAATAACATTTTTTTTTTAAATAGAACTTTTTCATAAGCTTTGGTTTTGTAGTTCTAGCAATTCCTACAATTAAAACAATGATTTACAAACTGCGCACTAGGTACACATGGTATAGCAAGCATAATAGCATTTAGGGCCGGTGTCGTTGCCCAGAGGACTCATTTGACAAAAAGATCCTTCTTAAGTCGCATCTCCCTAATTAACATTTAACATCATAATCAGCGGTGGGTCCATTGAAGACGAGGGGCCCCGAACAGGTGGTCCCGCTAACCACCTTTAGGCCACCCCTGATAATACTCGTGCACATGAATTACTACTATGCTAAAAACTATTGAGCAAAAAATTAATTGCTATTACGTTCAACTAGTGGTGCTAAAACAGCACGTACTTTCGCGCTTGTATTTTGAGGCAAAATTTAGAGAAAAGTAATCAAATTTTAGAAAAAGTATACTTGACCTTATTTCACAATCTATCTTCAAGGAACAGATTCGTTATGAGAAAAAATCTCAATCATTAATATTTTAGTTGTAGGAGGCCTCCGAAAAATATTTGAACTTATGCAATTTTCGAAAAATCAGTGTTTTAAACGAACATGAGACCTGCGCCATTCTCTTAAACGTTATCCAACACTATCCAACAACAAAACTGAATAAAAAACGATTGGAGCAATTTTTTTGAAAATTTGGAAAATGTCCTTGGGGCATTATGAAAAAGTACTCCCAAAATTAAAATATCGGTTTCAAAGTCAAGGGGCCGCGACATCAGTCGGATCGTTTGATGAATATCAATTTTGGAGAAAATCGGCTAAACGGTTTAGCAGCTAGCGTTGTTCACAGACGCACGGACCGGACCGGACCGATGTTTTGCCGTCATTCGATTTTTCGGTAATAGGAACCCTCAAAACATGGATTCTGGCTACACTACTTGTTAAAGGATTTTCCCCCTAAATTTAGCAAATGGATTTATCACGTT